ACCTGCCCCTTCCTGAACTGCTGCACATCTCCTGCCCTTTGCCTTGGAGCTGACCCGCCACCCCCACCCCAGGCCTCCTGCTTTATTTGCAGGGCACGGGAGGGAGGGAAAGGGTGCTGATGTCAAGGTACCTTCTCTCCCATTTGGTATCCTATCTCCACAGAGCAGAGAGGGGGCACAACAGGACTTGGGATGGAGTTTGCTGGCTGCATTTTGGGAGAGGTGCAGGGCTAGGACAGGGTGAGCCTGCCTTACCTGAGGTCAGCAGTGCCCAGCTGGAGCCCACATCCCAAACTCCTACCCCAGTCATGAACCCCCTCCTTCACCCTAACCCCTGCCCCAGCCCTGAGCACCCCTGCAGCCAGACATCCTCCCAGAGCCTGCATCTAGAACCCCCTTCTACTTCCCAACTGCTTGCCACAAACCCCTCTCACACACCAAATCCCTTAATCCTCTCACACACCAAATCCCTTAATCCTCTCACACACCAAATCCCTTAATCCAAGACCAGAGCCTGCACCCCAACCCTCTGCCCCAGCCTGATGAAAGTGAGAGGATGGGGGAAGGAGGGAGGACAGAGTGAGCAGGGGCGGGGCCTCGGAGAAGGGGCACAAAGGAGGCAGGGTAAGGGTATTTGGGTTTGAGGTAGATCTTGAATTGCACTTCAATTCAGAAAGTGATCTTGTGCTTAAAAAGGTTGGAGACCCCTGATTGAAACAGAAGTGTAACACAGCCATTTAGCTAACAATTTTAATAGGAGATACATTTCATACTGAACATTGCTATTGTCCATCTTTTTTGAATCACTTCCTACCCACATCACTTTTCTACTCTTCCATAATCCACCATTCCTTTTGGCTAAATATCTACTGGGGCTTTTCTTTTCATTTCTTATTACATTTCAGAAATGCAATGGAGGCCAAATATGTCTTTCATAGTTACACTATAAAACAGTTATTATCTGCAAATAATTTCTTTCAGCTGTTAAAAGCAGTCACACTATATGTGTGTTGTTTTAACAAATATTTTGGACTACCCTTAGATGCTTCTTAACAAACTTTAACACCAACCTTGTCTCGAAGATCTTCAATAGTTTTGTAATATAAGCTGTAGTCATGGGCTGGCCCTGGTCCTTGTTTCTGGTACCAGTCTCGGATTTTAATTTCTAGGTCAGAATTTGCCTCCTCCAGAGCACGTACTTTGTCGAGGTAGGATGCCAGACGGTCATTCAGGTTCTGCATAGTTGTCTTTTCGTTTCCAGAAAGGAGGCCATCGCCACCACCAAAGCCACCACTAAAGCTACTGTATGACCCCCCATCATATCCAGCACCCAAGCCACCTCCGAACCCAGAAGAGACAAATCGAGCAGTAGAGACAGAGATATCCCTGCCACCAGATCCCCCATGGACACTCGGAGTCCCGAAGAAACCAACAGCTCGTCTGGCTGAGGGACCACTAAAATTACCTAAGCCCGAAGAGGTTATTTGCTTCAAGCTGTAAGTGGACATGCTGAGTAAATATCAAGAATCCTACTCTAAGCACAATTCACACAGTTTGTACTCTGGAGGTAGGAGTGAAAGACTCTCACTCCGACCCTGCGTCTTTTATGCTTGTGACAATGGGAGTTGTCCATAGAACATGATATGTAAGCACTGTGGAATTCATCAGCCCTAAGCTTTTTGCCAGCATTGAAATTCTTCTTATTGGTCAGTTGACATGAAGTGGGCTGTGTCTCTTATCCAAATACTTTCACACATACCAGATTTCTTTTTTTCCCTCCCCTCTCTTCCTCTTCAGACAAAAGGTGTGTGTCTTTCGGCTCAAAGAGACTTTTGTGACTCTACAGTGATAGTTTACTTCTACGGAAACAAAAGACCTTTAAGCACACACTCTTCAGCAAGGTACAATGCCTCCTTTGTGGCACCTTTGTGAAGACTCCCACAAGGTAACTGAAGGTGTACAATGAACAGTAATGCACTTAGTGGCTGTTAGGCTGCTCATAGAACCTTGTATGAAGGGAGCCCAGATGACAAACTGCACTGCAAGGAGTGAGCTTTGGAAAAATAGATTCCCACACTTACCCGCCTTTTTTGTTACTTCTCCTGTAAATTCCGTCTTTGGATAAAAAAAACGTTTGAAGCACAAGCTCTTTGCTCTCAGTTCCTTCTGGGAGGACAACTGGACAAAGGGTTTGATTGTGGAAATGGCTGACATGAAAATATCTGTTTCTTTTCTAAATATGGCAAGTCTCTTTCAGTGGCCACGGTTTGATTTATTTTCCTAGCCTTAATTCATAGAATTACAGGACTGGAAGGAGCCTCAAGAGGTTAGTAGTCTGTTCCCAGCACTCATGGCACAATTAAATATTACCCTAGCCTAGATCATCCCTGACAGCAGTTTGTCTAACCTGCTCTTTAAAATGAGGGGAGAGGGAGAGCTCAGTGGTTTATGCATTAGTCTGCTAAAGCAAGAGTTGTGCGTTCTAATCCTCAAGGGGCCCTTTAGGGACCTGGGGAAACCTGTCAGGGATGGTACTTGGTCCTCCTGTGAGGACAGGGGGCTGGACTCAATGACCTCTCAAGGTTCCTTCCAGCTCTATGAGCAAAGTATATCTCCAATGATGGAGATTCCACATCCTTCCTTGGCAATTTATTCTAGGGCTTCGCCACCCTGACAGGGAGCTCTTCCTATTATTTTTCAGATAATCCATGGGTTCCCAAACTGGGGGGCATGTCCCCCCTGAGGGGACATGATGAAATTCCAGGGGGGGGTGGGCATGAGGCAAACCAGCTCTCCCTCCCACAAAAAAAATGTTGCTGCTATTTTTGTTTTTCAGCCTGTCAGTTCTCTCTTTTTTTTTAGCTTAACAAGTTTTGCTGCTATTGGGGGGGGGGGCATGATGGTTTCTCAAAAATCAAAAAGGGGGCGTGATGTCAAAACGTTTGGGAACCACTGCTTTAAACCGTCACTGTCTGAGCATTTCTTGTGTGAGCCGATCAATTGATCATAAACTCATGTGTCACTTTGCAAAGGGCAAAACTGGCAGGAGAACAGCAGCAGGTGGAGCAGTATCCTTTGACATTAATGAAATCGGTATTTCTAAAATGTGCGAAAATCCTTTATTATCCAAGAATTGGACAGAAAAGTCTTGCTGTTGGTGCTTCTAGCATATCTACAGGCCTCCCTATCAGCTGGGATTTTGCTTCTTTTTCTTCTGTTGCTTCCCCTCGGCCCCATCCAGAAAATGTTACTTAGAGAATGACAGGAGCAAGTGCACTAGCGTTTTGCATTGCTGTGGATCAAGGCCTCAACCGTGATCAGTCCCTACTGGGAACTACCTGGATCAGGGCCACAACCCTCTTCCCAGCCTTTCCTGCCCCAGCACTCAGCTCCTGCCCCTCCCTCCCAGCACTTTCTGCCTGCCTTGGATTGAGTAGCATGCAGGAGGCACTTGGGAGGAAGGGGAAAAGTGTGGGCAGGAAGAGGTGAAGGAGGTCTGAGAAGAGACAGGCAGGTGTGGGAGGGTGGAATTGTTGGGGTGAGGGTGGGGCCTGCAGTGGAGCAGGTGTTGAACACCCCAAGGCAACTTAGAAAGATGTCCCCTGTGCACTTTGGGTACAATCCGTACAATACAAAAATAAGAACACGAGAGAGAAACCAAACAAAATACCCACTCCAACTCAGTGCCTGTGGATGATTCTCACAGACATAGTGAAACGCAGCAGGTGTTTAAAAGTGTGCAGCAAAATTATACACTGCTTGTCCAGTTTAATAGTACCGGCAGTTCTGCACACTATTTCTTCGCCAAGTTTCATTGGGACTCAGATTCGAGAGGACAGAAATTTGAATGAACAGATCTATAGATTGTAGCTAAAGCTACAGTCTAATTCAACAAAGGCTTGTATGCTAGCTGGGCTTGTTTTCTTCCTTCTTGTTTTTATAAGTCTTTTTCAAACATGTCACAAGATCAATCACTGGCATTGTTGTTTTGAAGGCTTGTGATTTACGCTTATATTTAAAAAAACCGAAAAAACAAGGAGTCCTGTGGCACCTTAGAGACTAACAGATTTATTAGAGTATAAGCTTTCATGGGTAAATTTCACTTCATCAGATGAAATAAGGTAGAAGTTACAGAAGCAGGAGTATATATAAGGAAAAAGTTACTTGTGTTAACAAAGCTTATCAAGTCAGGGAGAAGTGGGTCATTCACAGCATTTGGTGTGGAGATGTGAATATCCAGATGGGGAAATTGCTTTTGTAATACCTTAACCAGTTTTACTATTTCTATTTAGTAACGGATCTAAGCCATTGTTAGGACTCCTTTTGTTCATAATATACATTAAAAACTTCGTATTGGTCCTGGGTCTATCAAACATGGATATTTCCTTAATGTCTTTAGCTTCACTCATCAATTTTCTATACTTCATACCTTCTAGTTTATATTGATTGCTATTTTCCCTTTTTCCATTTGCTATACAGTGGAAGCTTTGTTATCCAGCACTCTGTTAACCAGAAAACTTCGTTAACCGGCATTGCTCCCAGTCACAATACTGTCACATCTTCAGGCGCACAGGCATGGCTTGGTTTACCATGACTGGCTTAACAATTTTTTACGTAAGAAGTACTAATCATCTTTAACTCAAAATAGAAATGTGAGATCATCTGCCTCCCACTACAAAACTACCAATATTAAACACTTGAGTTTTACTATTATTGTCCATTGGTTTTTCCTAGGTTGATGGGACCCTCAGATAACCAGAATTTTTAGATAACCAGAATGCCCTAATCCCCGAGAGTGCCGGATAACACAGATTTTACTGTATATTGCTTTTTCATTTCTAATTGCTGCTTTCATTTTGCCAGTAAGCCAATAGTGATTTAATGATGATACATAAAGAGCAAATACCTGTACATTAGATGGCATAATTACATAGAGTTGATAGTGATATGGTCACTGAGCAGTATTTCCCAAAAGTGGGTCCCAGCCCAGCTGTGGGAAACCTGTAGATGTGTTACCATATCTAGGGCTTGATTAACCTTGGCCTGGGCAAATATACACTTCTTCCAGCATGGAGGAGAAACATGGTGGGATAGGGTAAGTTGTGGTGCAAATCCATCTGGCACTTCCCTCCCAGCAGCAGCTCCAGTTCTGCATGGCTGGGCCTGGTTTTCTGCTCCGTGTGTGCCTACCTGGCTCATGTTACAGCACCAAACTTGAGTGAGTCTGTGATCCTGTGCATCATGTCACCATGCTCGGACTGAGGAGCCGTGACCAGCCCCATGGGATAGAACAGTGTTTCCCAACCAGGGTTTTGCGGAACCCTGGGGTTCCACAGACCATCGTCAGGGGTTCCGTGAGAAACCGTGGAATAAATAAATACACTTTTTTTTCTTACAATGTAAGCTGACATATATATATAACGGCTCTTGACAAATACATTATCTTGACAATAATTTAGTAGTAATTGAATTGAGCTCCCTGCTGTCAACTTTTTCTAGCCAAGCAAACGTTTTCATAGGAAGGGGTTCCTCGGGATATGAAAAATTATTTTAGGGGTTCCTCCATGAGAAAAAGGTTGGGAATCACTGGGATAGAAGGTACCTCAGAACCTCAACTCTCATGGCCTCCTCTCCACACTGGGCCAGGATTATAGTTGTGGTACCGGAGTAGAAAGTACATATATGTAATGGTGGGTTGTAACCAAAGACAATTAGCAGTTGATGTGCTGCCTTAGTTAAAGTTGTGAATCACACCTCTAGAAGCAGCACGGTTGGATTCCTTTCTCTCAATATGGGCTACTGTGTTGAAATAGCTCTCAAAAGATTGTGGTATAAATATAGAGCCTTTAGGAAGAAACACTGGTGACAGTTTTGCCTACAAAAGATCTGAGTCCTCCTCAGCCTAGGACAGGAAAAACCTGCCCAACAGGATCCAAGTGTGTCTGAATGAACAGCGAGGGAAATCCATTTGTGGCTACAGCAGTTTTATTGTGCTATATGGTGTTATGAGTGCTAAGGTGTACAGTATGTCTACACTGCAGATTGTTTTTGGCAAAACGGCCATTTTTCCGAAAAAACTTCACTTACGTCCACACTGCAATCACGTTCTTTTGGAAAAAAAAAATTAAAAGAACAGAGGGGTTTTTCCAACATTGGTAAACCTCTTTCTACAAGGAAGAAGCCTTTTTCCGAAAGAGCTCTTTTGGAAAAAGGAGTGTGAGGACGGGGAAGAGGGAGTTCTTTCGAAAGAAGAGGAAAGACGAAAAAGCACAGGTGCCCTGGTCGCCGCTCAGCCTATAGCAATCACAGCTTAAATGTGAGAAAGCGTCCATTCAGCGTGGTCCATGGCTGCTATGTTTTGAAAAAGCAGATTGCTTTTTTGATGCACGTGGGCATTGTGGACACTCTCTTTCAGAAGTTTTTTTGGAAGATCTCTTCCAGAAAAGATTCTTCTGAAAGAAGCCTGCAGTCTAGACTAGCGTGGTTCCCAAGCTTTTCGGCATCACGCCCCCTTTTTGATTTTCGAGAAATCCTCATGCCTCCCCCTCCCAAAAAAATAGCAGCAAAACTTGGCATGGGATTGATGAGGGTGTGT